GAGATACAGATCCTTCTCACTCTGCTGAAGACCAGATGCAGCCCCACACTTGTGCATCTCGCTGCCCGAATCCACTTGCTTGACCCTTTCAAAAGCGACTTTCTTTTCACTTAAACGTTTGATGTGTAAAAGAGTCTTTTTTTTCAAAAGTGATTTTCTTTTCACTTAAATGTTGATGTGTCTTACTCTTGGGTTCACACAGTCAATTTCCTGTGCTTGTCTTTCCATTTCTTTTCTCTTCCATCGTGTGCTGTAGTGCCTGTGGGTGTGCTCTACTGTACAGGGCTTTGAATGTCTCTGTGAACTGCTCATGAATAAAACAGTATTGTGAGACTGAGTTACTGCTGCCTGCCCAATACCCCAGGTCCGACAGTTCCCCAGTCCTGAAGACCCCATCGTGTGTCTTTGTGTCTTTCACAATTCCTTTACACCAAGACTTCTCCCCGCTAGGCTGCTGCTTGCTTGTTCACTGACCCTTCCCTGTGGTCTCAATGTCACAGACCAGGTGGGGCTAGATTTCTAAGCCACACGCTCACGAAGCTCTTAGTGCTGGCTGAAGGAATAGTTTGTAGGCTTTTCTGATGATAATAATAATAATAATAATTGCTTACACTTATATAGCGCTTTTCTGGACACTCCACTCAAAGCACTTTACAGGTAATGGGGACTCCCCTCCACCACCACCAATGTGCAGCCCCACCTGGATGATGTGACGACATCCATAGCGCACCAGAACGCTCACCACACACCAGCTATCAGTGGAGAGGAGAGCAGAGTGATGAAGCCAATTCATAGATGGGGATTATCAGGAGGCCATGATTGGTAAGGGCCAGTGGGAAATTACACCCCTACTCTTTTCGAGAAACGCCCTGGGATTTTTAATGACCATAGAGAGTCAGGACCTCGGTTTTACGTCTCATCCGAAGGACGGCGCCTGTTTAGAGTATAGTGTCCCCATCACTATACTGGGGTATTAGGACCCACATGGACCGCCGGGTGAGCGCCCCCTGCTGGCCCCACTAACACCTCTTCCAGCAGCAGCCTTAGTTTTTCCCAGGAGGTCTCCCATCCAGGTACTGACCAGGCTCACACCTCCTGAGCTCCAGTGGGTTGCCAGTTGTGAGTTGCAGAGTGATATGGCAGTGATGACGTCACTTGTTCTTACTTCTCCCTCAAGTGTTCTGTTGTGTCCGACATGTGGTCTGACAGACTCAGTGGCGCGATCGAGGTCTCATTGCTCTGATTGACTGAGAGTGCGCTGGCCTGAGACCCATCCTGTTATCTTGCTTGTCCTCCTCCTGGGTGACACACGCCACCTGGATATCTGACGTGGCGAAACAGTGACACCTAGTGGCGGATGTAGTACACACTCATAATCGTACTAGAGGCTCAGTCGATTGATTACACAGCACTGCATCTCTGCAAATAAAGGGGTCTTTAACATCCATCCATCCATTTTCTAATCGCTTTTTCTAATTCAGGGTCACAGGAGAGCCACAGCCTCTCCTGGCCAAGCAAGGCAGGGTACACAAACACAGACACACACTCACACCAGGGCCCATGTTAACCCACCAGCCTGTCTTCGGACTGTGGGAGGAAACCTGAGCACCTGGAGGAAACCCAAGGGAACATGAGGAGAACATACAAACTCCACACAGACAGCACCTCAGGCCCGCAAATGAACCCAGGACACCAGCACTGCCAGGCAGCAATGCTGACCACTGTGTCACTGTGCTGCCTCCAGCTGTATACAGTGGCTCCAGAATCTGGGCGTTGAAATGTTATCGAACCCTCTGAGAAGCATGAATATGTGCCACTGTGCCACCCACGTCTTTCCAATAAAAAAGAAACATATGCACATTACTCCTCTGTCCTAACTCCCCTGCATGAGTTGTTCTGAAAGCTCTTTTGCAGCCAAGCCTGTGGGATAAATATGTTACTGTGCTGACATGCACACTAGGAGCTGGGAGTGCTCTGACAATCACTCTCTGTCTTCCTCCAGTGCCACCTACCCCTCCTCCTCCTCTCTCTCCTCCCAAGATGCCCCGGAGCCACCCCATTGTTTCTATCCGCTTCATGTTCACATCTGGGGTTTTCCAGTCTGTGGACTCTGGTCCCCTTCAAAGTGGGAGCTGAAAGGTTCAGGCTGGAAAAATGTGCATTTAGAACTGAGAACGGGGCACACTGCTTTACACAAAGAGTGGTGGGAGTGTGGAACAAGCTGCCCAACCTTGTGGTTGAAGCTGATACTCTGGCTTCTTTTAAGAAGAGGCTGGGTGAGATGCTGGGATCAATTAACTACCAACTACCAACTGGGAGAGATGGGCTGAATGGCCTTCTGTTGCTTGTAACCTTTATGAGGTTTTTTACATCACATCTCCTTCTATAACTGCTTATTCTGTTCATGGTCACTGTAGCC